TCTTCGTCGAGGCGCGGAGGTGGAGAACCCTGCAACCTTCCCGCCGGTTTCCAAGATCTGGGCCGATCGCTCAGCTTTGGCCCCAGCGACCTGCGGTCTCTGGGCCTGGCCTGAGGAACACATCAATGTGAAGGAGGCGCGCGCCGCTCTGGATGGTGCGAGGCGCTGCGCTCGCAGCAGTCATCTTCGAGGGCGTCGTGGCCTGCATTTGGTCGACAACGTGGTGACCTGCTGCTGCTTCGACACGGGCCGCGGCCGCTGGTGGGCCATGGGCGCCGCGTGCAGGCGTCTCTGCGCCAACCAGCTAGCGGCCAACTGTGCACGATGTGGGGTTACCTTTACTCTGGAGAATCCTCGGTCGAGCAGACTCTGGCAGCTTCCTCCCGAAGCAGGTCTCCTGGGGCCACCGAAGGTCCGCCTCGTCGCGTTCGACATGTGCATGTTCAACGCAGACCACAATAAACCAACATATGTCATGACAAACTCGCAGTACTTCGACCAGATCGCCGTGAAAAGTAATTAGCAACATGTACACGTACCACTGGTAGGTCGTATCAGAGTAAAGGGGGATGACGGGGCATGCCGTTGGGTTCTTCGGACGAAACTTTTTGGCCGTTACCCTGCTGCTCTGTGTGGGGCCTTAGCCGGCGCTGTGGCTCAAGAAGCTTGGGAGTTTGGGACCCGTGGCTCGCCCTTGGAGCCAGAGTGGGTCCAGGCCTGGATGCGGGGGCCTCGTGATGGTCGCAGTCAGCCGCTTCGCCCGCGCGTCAATGCAGACGAGCCTGGGGCCGGCGATCTCGGCGCATAGGGCGGCGACGCGGCCCGGGGGTGGCGCGACCTACGACGTCGAGCACGGGGCGTTCTTCGGGCAAGCTGGCACGGAGCGGGCCAAAGAAGCAGTCGCAGAGGGACAAGCGCGCCAGGCGCCGAGAGGCAGCGCATCGGCTTGCCGAGCCGCAGCTCGCGGCCCCTGCGAGGCAGCTGCTCAGACTGGCCACCGCGACCGCGCCAGCGCTGAAGGCGCACAGGGCGAGCCTCGAGAAGTTCGAGAGCAGGGTCAAGACGAAATGCCGCCTGCTGGACACATGCACCGTAGAAGTTCCGGGCGGGCGAGGGCCCCGCTTTGGGGCGATGCCTCAGGAGCGCCTGGATCTTGCTGAGGACGAAGGGCTCGGAGAAGTGCAACCTGCTCCCAGAGGGCCGCAATGCTTTCGCCAGCTGGGAGAAACGAGCCCCAGGCCAAGTTCGAGACGGCCTCCCAGAGGCAGCGATGGGGCTGCTGGTGAACTGGATGCTCTCCAACGACCGCAAGGAGTCCGCGTGCGTGGTGGTGCTGCAGCACGACGGGTGCATGAGGCCGTCGGAGGCGCTCAGCCCGATCAAGGTCAACATCGCGCCGCCGCAGCCCCAGGCAGCTTGGCGACTCGGAGCGGGAGAAGACCACGCAGACGGGGCTCAGGGGCGCGGGCATCTGGGTCGGCGTGGGGAGCCGCCGCTGGGTGAGGGGTCACCTGAAGCGGCTGCATCATCGTGCCCAGCTCCCCCACGATCGCTTGTTTCGCGCCTCCTTGCCACAGTGCGAAAAACAATCTGGCCTCCCAGGAGCTCGGGCTCAACGCCCTCAATGGGTGCCCACGTGCGGTCCGCCATAGTGGGCCGTCACAGGACAGATTGCAAAACCGCCTGGCGCTTCAGGAGGCGCAGCAGCGAGGACACAGGAAGAGCCATGCGTCAGTTGTTCGGTATGAGAAGCACTCTCGTATTCTTGAGCAGTTTTCTAAGATGAGTAGTATGCAGCAGAGTGTTGGCACCCGGGCGTGGGCACAGATGTCCAGCCTGATGAGGTCCTCTTGAACATCTTGAGTTGTCTAATTAGACGCTACGCCAGGGTCGCACTTATGGCGCGAATTATGGTTCTATTCGAGCGTTTATCTTGATGTACATCACTGCGATCGTTTTACGCTGATGCGTTTGCCCGCCTGCAAAGCCGTCGAACGCTTTCTCGTGCAGGAGCGTGTCAATGAGAGAAGCAGGTTTCGAGCAGATTTTAATCGATGCCTGGTGCTGGGCAGGAGTGAGGATTGATGATTCTAGCTTGTTGTGGAATCGATACGAAGAGACGTTGAGGCTCCATCGCTGTAGTCTTGGGCCCCCACGAACCCACCTGCGCTGCAGCGTGCCTCTGGCATAGACATGCATTGTAGTCCATGTCTTCAGTATTCTGCGCGCACAGTTTTTTTGTTCGACCGTGGTGCTAATCGAGCGTTTATCGTGTTATGCTGATGCGTTTGCCCGTCTGCAAAGCCGTCGGACGCCTTCTCGTGCAGGGGCGTGTCAATGAGAGAAGCAGGTTTCGAGCAGATTGTAATCGATGTCTGGTGCTGGGAAGGAGTGGGGATTGATGATTCTAGCTTGCTGTGGAATCGATGCGAAGAGACGTTGAGGCTCCATCGCTGTAGTTTTGGGCCCGTGCTGCAGCGCGCCTCTGACATAGACATGTATTGTTTTCTTTGCCTTCAATATTATGTGCGCAGTTTTTCGACCGCGATGATAATCGAGCGTTTCTGGTTTTATGCTGATGCGTTTGCCCGTCTGCAAAGCCGTCGAACGCTTTCTCGTGCAGGGGCGTGTCAAAGAGAGAAGCTGGTTTCGAGCAGATTGTAATCGATGTCTGGTGCTGGGAAGGAGTGAGGATTGATGAATATATTCCGTAAGCATGTGATGGAATATGCGTTCACGCACGGCGAGTCGCACGCTCGTCTGATGCGCAGACTGCCCTAGGACATTTGGAGAGCGAGCCTCGACGGAAACAGGTTTGAGCATTGCCCTGATCAAATGAGGATGGGCCCTACTGTACTCGACCTGAAGATAAGGGGCACCATTCGAAGCTTCAGACCTGTTCGAAACAATGCTTGCGGCAGTGGGGTTCGGCCTCAATATTGAGATGCGTGAGATTAGTGTGAATCCTTGGCCCGTCCAGAATGCGATGGGAGACCTTTCTCATCGTATCCAATGTCCAGAACCATTGCAGCGCGAGCGCAAAAGCGCGCGGATCAATTTGATTGAGAAGCACGGACAGCGGGCAACAAAATGCGATTGTTGCTGTCGGTATGTCGCGTTTATTCGGTGACCGTGGCGTCCCTGATGTCGGCTTAGCTGGCGATGGGTCCCCGCTGCTCGCCAAATTCAACATGCTGAAACGGCTGCTACGCAAGTGGAGTCGCCCCATCGGACCGCTCTTCCGAGCCCTTCAACGGATGCGGGCGAGCCAATTGAGGAGCCTTTCCAGGGCCCAGTCGCGGGGATCCAGGCGAGGGGTTCGATTGCAGCGAAACGGAAGGGGCCTAGGTGAGCTGCGGGCGGCGGCTTAGCTGCTGCCCCCGCACCTATGCGTCCTATAGGAATGGTTCTACAGTCCCCCCGCCCCCTCCCACGCCGCCGGCGCGGCGGCCCGCGGCGGCCGCCGCTCCCGGCGGGCGCCCCCGCGGCGGCTGCTGTAGATGAGCCGTCGCCGGCTGCCACGCGCGACGGGCGCGTCTTGCGCGAGGGCGCGCGCGGAGGGCGCCCCGGGGGCCCGCGCAGGAGGAGAAGGCGAGGCCGAGGAGCAAGAGCCGGAAAGACCAGCGGGGGATCGCGCAAGCGAAGACGCCGTCGTGGACAGGAACGGCACCGCGGCGAAAGCAAGCGCAGCATCAGAGGAAAACGGGGAGTGGCGCGTCGAGCAGCTGCTTGACGCGAGAAAGTTGCCGGCGCGACCAGCATCGGCGCTGGGATCGCAAGCGCCAGCATGATGATGACGAGCGCGTTGGCGGACGGGACTGCGATAGAAATAGAAATGGTGGTCGTAGAATAATCCTGACAACGAGAGTGGGGGACGCACTTCGAAACGTGCGAGGTGAAGAAGCGCTGCTGATGAAGGCTCAGCGTCGGAGATCCTGGACTCCTGCGTTCACTACTGAGCATGAGTGATGTATTTGTGGGGAACGCTAGCCCGCTTCGACCATGCCCAACGAGAGTTCCGGCGGAATTGTCGGCCCCCCCCCCGTGTGCCCGAAGCCTTTTCTGGGGCGTGCGCCAGGTGAGGGCCAATGTGCCTTCGGAGTGCCAGGAAGCCGCGGAGCCCTCTTGGCTGGGTCGGTGGCTTGGGTCTACGCGGTCCGCCGCGGGTGGTGTAGTTCTTGCTCTGTCCCCGCTCGCTCTGCGCCGCCGCCCCCTTGCCGCCGGCGCCTGCAGCTGCGTTGGACCAAACAGGTGGCGCGCGAGCGAGCTTCGCGCGCGTTGGAAATAGCGAGGTAAGGGAGTTGTGCCTTACGATTTTGTTGCTATATCTATATTATATATATGTATATATATATATACATAAATATTATTTATATATTATATATATATATAATATATATATATATATATATATTCTCATCTCTGTGCTCGCCATTCGCGTGCGTCCATATTACTGTTTAGCGGATCCATCATAAGTTTGAGACCCATGACGTACCAATATCATTCAGACCCGCCTTCGTCGGAAGTAGCGATTCTCTGGCGAATGCCCGATGGCCTTGGCGGCCGGTGCCGCCGACCCTGAAGGGGGTTGACAACGGCGGCGCGACGACGCTGGCGCTGTTGAGCCTTTCTTGGGGCTCATTAGGGCCTATTAGGCTCTGTTGGGGGGGCTCTTGGGGGACTTCTCGGGGAACTCTGAAATCGCAGAGGAAGAGCGATGGAACAACTTCAAATGATGATTTTGCCAGGTGTCGGGCGGCGATGAATCGCGCGCGCAGCCCGACTGCGAGGAGGATGGGGCGGTGGAGGAGGAAGAGGAAAAGGCCTGTCCGTTTCCATTTCCACACGCAGAGATGGGCGAAACTTTGGCCGAATCGACTTTGGTAGAGCCATTCGGGCAACGTCGCGCGCCAGCGCGGGTGGTGCACATTTTTGGGAAGTATGTTTGCTCGCGCGCGTGGCATTCACTGTCCTCTTGGGCCGATAGTGCTGGCTGGAAGGTCATCGTGGAACTGCACGAAGCCAGCGGCCTGACCGCTGACATCCTGACGGAGGCCGCCAGAACGCATCCTTGATCGTGCTTCGTTTTTCTGCTCGGCCGCGCCTGGAAGACAAGGACGAGAATGATTGGACCCATCGGAAAGAGGAGGAGGAGGAGGAGGAGGAGGAGGAGGAGGAGGCGGAAAAGGTAATTGAGGAGGAGGAGGAGGAAGAGGAGGAGGAGGAAGAGGAGGAGGAGGAGGAGGAGGAGGAGGAGGAAAAGGGGGAGGGAAGAGGGACAAGAAACCCTTGCACCCGGCGGCGCTGGGCACACATTCTGCCCGCGCCCGTGGACAAGGACGAGGAATGTCAGGATCCCGTTAGGCATGCGAGTGTCGATTGTTGTATTTGTTCGACCACAAGTTCGCGCACGACGGAGCAGCCGCAGCCCAGAACAGCGACGTTGCCGCTGGCCTAACAGTTCCAATCTCCAGACGATGCCTTACTTAGCATTCAGTCTCTCGGAACAGCCTGGCGCGTATCAGGTGCGCATCTCTCAATGCATGGTCTGAAATGCGGCTCAGAAAGAGTACTAGCCCGCCGCTCCGCGGTTGATCGGGAGTTTCTGTATCGGATGTTGGGGGGTGAGATCGAAGTGGAACGGAGAGCCCCCCACCGGGAAATCAGTTTCGGTTTCGTGTTCGTGCGTGCGGTGCGTGCGGGCGAGGCGAAGCTGCGTGGGCGGGCGAGAGGAAAGTCTCCTGTGGCTGAAGCGCGGCCGGACCAGATGATTCCCCCCCCGGCAAAAGGGACCGCGCGGTGTCCCGCCGGTGTCCCGGTAAGTCTCCTGCTGAGGCGCTGCCCGACCAAATGTTTCCCGACCGGCAAACGGGGCCGCGCGGTGTCCAGCCGGTGTCCCGCCGGTGTCCCGATGGTGTCCCGGTGTCCCGTTGGTGCGAAAACGATAGTGAGACCGATATTGAGATCGATTGTGAGATCGATTGTGAAATTGATAGAGAGATCGATAGCGAGATCGATCGAGTGAGATCGATGGTGAGATCGATTGTGGGATCGATAGTGAGAGCAATAGTGGGATCTATGGTGGGATCGAATGAGTAAGATCGATAGTGAGATCGATCGAGTGAGATCGATAGAGAGATCGATAGTGATATCGATAGTGAGATCGATGGAATGATATCGATAGTGAGATCGATAGTGAGATCGATGGAGTGATATCGATTGTGAGATCGATAGGGGGATCGAAAACGAGATCGAGAGTGAGATCGACAGTGAAATCGATCGAGTGAGACCGATGGTGAGATCGATCAAGTGAGATCGATAGTAAGGTCGATGGTGAGATCGACCGTGGGATCGATAGTGAGACCGATAGTGAGATGCAAATCGAAATGCAGATCGAAATGCAGATCGAAAAGCAAATCGACATGCACATCGATAAACAAATGCAAATGCAAATCGTCAGGCACATCGACATCCCGTGCTGTATGCTGTGCCAAGAGCGAGTGGCAACGCAACAATCTCGGAACACCAAGGCTCCCAGTACGAACGTTGGCGGAACAGGTTCTTAAGGGTCGCTCCAAGAAGCTCCCGGGAGGCCCCAAGAAGCCCAAAAAGGCCCCCAAGAGGCCCCCAAGAGGCCCCCCAAGAGGCCCCCAAGAGCCCCCCAATGGGTCGAAAAGACAAGCCCAAACGGCCCCCCAAGCCCTGGCAAAATAAACAAAATAGATTATCATTGGGCTGGCCTCCGGCCAGTGCTGCCGATCCGGGGAGGTGAGAGCGAGCCGTCTTGGACATTGTGAAGGCCCAAGAAACGAATATGCCGTATATTTTTCAGTCTTTGGGCATTCTTGGGAAGTGTCGTGAGGGATCCTGGGGACGTCTTGGAGGTTTCTGGAACTGTCTTCGGGGCATCTTGGGCGATTCGAGCGATGTTTCGGCGATTCGGGGCCCTCTTGCATTGTCTAGAGGGCCTCTGGGGCCTCTCTTGGCTTCCTCTTGGGCTGTCTTGGGCGGTCGGCGCTCCAGAAGTGGAGTTTTCCATACCCCCCTGTCCCCGGGTACCGAACAACGTCGGAAATGACGTCGGAAATATCCCGCCCCCCAAGCCCTTGCAAAATTAACAACATAGATTATTATTTCGTTGGTTCCCGGGGGGGGGGGGGGAAATGGTACCAAGGCGCCCCTGAGCGAAGGTTGACGTAAACAACTCGACACCAAGGCTCCCAAGAGCGAGCGGCAACGCAACAATCTCCACTAGTATCGTTAGAACAACAATCACCACTGTTGCCCATTGCTGGCCCCCTCCCCCCCAACCTCCTTATCACCCGCAGGGTGGTCGTATAGGTATAGAGAAAAGGCGCGTGCGCCTGTGCTCGACGACGATGGTGAGAATGAGCGGGTGGCGTTGGTGCGGCGGGTGAGGATCGGGAGAGCAAGGATGAGGAGAATGAAGATCAGGGAGGGCGAGGATCGGGCGGGCGGGGATCACCTGGGGGTCCCTGGGGGGGCGCTGGAAGCCCGTGGGGCGATCTTGCGAGGATGTCTCGAGCGAGGGCGCCGGGTTGGGACACACCCGGCGTGCCCAGTGCGCCCGGTGCAGCGCTGGAAATGGTCCGTGCGCTGCCCTAGTAGACAAACAATATATACTGGTAGTGTCTATCTTTGGTGCGCGCCTGCTATGGCGAAGCCGCAACGCATCTGAGTCGGAGCGCGCGAAATGCGAGTCTATTTCTATGTTGTTTTCATATGCAATTCGTATGACCACATGAAAATAGACACGTGAAAAATAGATAATGTTATCAACAATAAATACGGAATAAGTTTTTTTTTTAATGAAAAATAAACACTCGTCGACACGTTTCTTATTAAAAGATAGATACGCGTTGCAATTTCCTTGAGTTGAATATTGGAACTCATCAAAACAAATAGAAACTGGTTCGAAAGATATATACTGATTGATTCGGCGCGCGCCGAATCCTTGGCCCCTGGGGGGGCCCGGCGGGCGATTGGCTGGGACACGCCCGGCGCGCCGGGTGCGCCAGATGCAGCGCTGGAAATGATCCCTAGGGGTGCGCCGGGGGCCCGTGGGGCGATTTTGCAAGGATGTCTCGAGCGAGGGTGCCGGGTTGGGACACGCCCAGCGCGCCCGGTGCAGCGCCGGAAATTGTCCCTGGAGATATGCCGGGGGTCCGTGTGGCGATTTTGCAAGGAGGGCGCCGGGTTGGGACGCGCCCGGCGCGCCCGGTGCGCCCGGTGCAGCGCCGGAAATCCTCCGTGGGGCGATTTTGCGAGGATGTCTCGAGCGAGGGCGCCGGTTTGGGACGCCCGGCGCGCCAGGTGCAGCGCCGGAAATGATCCCTGGAGGTGCGTTTGGAAGTGACTCTCCCGCGCGCCCGGGGTAAGGATGACGGGAGTTCCACAGAAACTCCCTCAAATTAATTTGCCTGCTGACCACCAGGATATCATCGAGGCGCGGGAGAGTGCAGGCATGTGCACGGGCACGCATCATCATGCCATGCTGGGAAGTCCTGGAAGAGGAGCGGATATTTGCGGACCTCGGCGAGCTGGGAGAGGTTCCTGGGCTGACAGGGGAGTGCGAAGGCGGTCGCATCACCTGCCGACTACGCAGGGCGCAACTAGCCTGAGCAATTCTTCACGCGAGACCTGACGGGAAAAGGGACGAAGGGACACATCTAGGCAAACAAAGCGAGCAACCAGGATGAACCGAGAGATCTTTGGGAGCAAGGGGGTCGCCTTGGAAGGCCTCTTCGGGCCATACCTAGAGGCCGCGTGGGGGCGAGGGGAAGAGTAGGAGGAAAAGGAGGAGGAGGAGGAGGAGGAGGAGGAGGAGGCCTCTTGGGCGCCTCTTGGGGCACTCTTGGCATTAGAGTCCCCCACAGGTCCCCGGACACGTCCGCCGGACACCCTGGACACCCCGGACACGTCCCCCGGACACCCCGGACACCCTGGACACGTCTCCCGGACACGTCCCCCGGACACGTCCCCCAGACTGGCCGAAGCTTAACAGGGGGTAATCAGGGGGTCATGGCTACATGTTGAGGCAAGAGTGATTCTCGAGCCACTTTCCCGCCCGCACCCTCGATGATGATGGTGTATTCATGATGGTGATGAAGGTGATGATGGTGATGGCGGCGATGACGACGACGGTGGTGACGGCGATGGTGATGATGGTGATGGTGATGATGGTGATGGCGGTGACGATGACCGAGGCCCAAGTTTGAAGGGTGTCCTTTGGCCTCCTCAAAGAGCCACAGAAATTTTCAAAACAGTTTATGGATTTACATGCCGACTTCTCTATTGTGGACAATACAAAACTCCAGCGCGCGCGACGTCGACGCCCGCGCCGCCGCCGTCTTCTGGGGCTATCTTGAGGGCGTTCTGGGCCATGCTGGAGACGCTTCTCGGGTCAACTGAGGTCACCCACTGCAGGCTTCGCGCATTGCGCTGGTCTTTCCACCTGCGGCCCAGGCCTGGGCAAATGCCCAGACCACAAGCCAACATGGCGCTTTTCGATTGTTCACAATACAGAACTCCAACGCGCGCCTCCATAAAGAGCCACAGAAATTTCAAATTCAGTTTTTGGAATTACATGTCGACTTATCCATTGTGGACAACGAAGAACTTCAACGCGCGCGCGCGCGGGTGACCATGGCCACCCGCACGCGCGGGTGACCCGGCCACCGTCGGCCTCCTTAAAGAGCCACAGAAATTTCAAATTCAGGTTTTGGAATTACATGTCGATTTATCCACTGTGGACAACACAGAACTCCAACGCGCGCGCGCGCGGGTGACCATGGTCACCCGCACGTACGGGTGACCCGCGCGCGCGCGGGTCACATGAAATTCGCTCGGTCACCGTTAAGGGTTCACTTCAATTTCCAAGCCAACATGGCGGCTTTTCGATTGTGGACAATACAGAACTCCAACGCGCGCGCGGGTGACCATGGCCACCCGCACGTGCGGGTGACGCGGCCACCGTCGGCCTCCTTAAAGAGCCATCGAAATTTCAAATTCAGTTTTTGGAATTACATGTAGA